TTTCTTCCTTTGCAGTTCACTCAAAGCGTGAATGTGGTTATGTTTGTCTTATAAATAAAGTGCAAACAATTTTTAATTTATTAATTCTTAATAACTTATATTTTAACAAAGATAATTTCGTTATCAATAAAGCGTGAATTTTGTCATGAGCTGATGGTACATATTGTTATTGTGTAATGATATCGTTTATATGGAAGATTAGCGTCATTAAGTGCTTATGTTACAGTTATCGAATGATATCGTAGATAAAAACACGTACTTTAAGTTATTAGTATGCATATGAAACAGATACATTACAGCTATTAGCCAATATGAATAGCTCAACTGTAAGCTCAATATAACTATCTAATTGGAATTTATAGTACAACATGGAACTTAAGAACAACAGTGTGTTTAAATCCAAATGAAATTATCTGAGCAACTACCTAACACTTAAAACACGTAAGAAAATATCAGATACAGTGTACCATGTGAAGATAATAGATAAGAGAGTTTGTGAATCAGGAACACCTTGACTCTTTATCATTATTAAATTCGAAGTTATTATCGCTTAATGGATAAGAATATTCAGAAGTCTTACTGGCTGTTAACCCCCACCCTTCCCTCGACAAAAATCAATTGTACGGAATTCCATAATGTCGATGGTGGCGGTATAGTCTGATTCAAATATTATCAAACAATAATTTAATCGTGAATTTTTTTTTTCCGGAAACAATATTAAAAAAATTGTGTTGTAGCAATTTGCATATGCATGGCCTCATTTTGAAGCAGATAATATTATGTGGTGTCGCTACTGCAGTGTTGTGTTATGTTTGTCGCTGTGTATTGTAGATAATAATATACATCTAGGTGAGATAGAAGTAATCCATTAATTATTTTATCACCTGTAGATATTAAGAATTTTGAACGAATATATTTCAGATATTTACATATAGATGATCTGAGTTTAATGAATGAGAGAATGTATTAATAAAACATACAGGGGATATTTATTCCATAACAAGTAAATAACAGAAGAGAAAGACAAGGTGTGTTGAACCATCGCAGCGCCAGACAAATATATCGAATCAATGTTTAGAGTCCAGTCATGATGTTCATAAAGAGTTTCACGTGTTTGTCTACGCAATAACCTGTCAAGGAATATAAACTGAGCTTTTTTCTCTCTGTCACCTGAAAAGTTGCTGGCAGTTTTGTACACAATTTATGGGTAGTTTAGTACATAAGGTTATTTTTTTTTTGTGCTGACTTAATATTGATGTATTATTATAGTTTATTAGGTTAGGTTAGGTTAGGTTACAGTGGGTTAAGTTACTTTATTGTTATCAAGCATATTTTAATTACCTTGTTTTTCCACAAGTCCACTTTGGAAGCAACCATGACTTTCATCTTTACACATTACCTGAACCCATATTCATATTTTTTACTTGTACGTTAACAGGTTTTTGTAATGCTTCTTAGTTATTTGTAAAGAGAGCAGTATCATCTGCATAGCGTATATTTAATATTACTTTACCAGTAACTTTTAGCCCTTCATTGTTACTTAGAACTTCTTTCCTTAAGAATTATGAATATATAATGTATACTGTTGGAGATAGAACACAGCCTTTTCTTACTCCTGTTGCCAGTAAAGATTTTACTTTTGAGAATTCTAATATCTCCTTCATTAATGCCGATATTTATTCCAAGACCTCTATAATGTTATTGTGTTTTACCTTATCAAAAGCTTTTTTTTTAAATCAACAAAGTAGATCTACGAATGTCTTTGGACCTCAACTGCACTTTCATTCAAAAATTTCAAACCAATTTTAGCTTCTCTAGTCCCTTTTCCCTTTCTGAATCCGTTTGGAGACATGACTTATTAAGCTTAGTGTTCTAAACTGGGTGTACTCTAAGGCTCCTGACTGTTTAGGTAATTATATAAATGTTGATTTTTTAAATTACTGTGAAGGTCTAGTTTGAAGTAAATTGAAGTATATTTTAGTCAAACATTTTATCCAATTCTTGCCTATTTGTTTTAAAAATTCTGCTGGAAGCTGCTCAACCCCACAAGCTTTGTTATTTTTCATTTTGCTCACAGCTGCCTCAACTTCTGAATCCAAAACTGGTAGTTTGATCCTTATTCTTTTTTCGTTTCTTACCAGTTTTCTGACAGTGTTAATGACACATTCAAAGTCTCACGATTTATTTTTTTATTTTTAACTTAACAACTCATAAAATAAAGTTGTTGGATTTCAGTTTAGGTGCAACACTTAACAAGGTTGTTAAGACACCTGCGGCTAACATTTCCACCCTCGGAAGTAAATGGACTTGCTAACTGTTTCGTATGTAATTAACACCGTTTTATTCAAGGAACTTTTCTTTACATTTTCTATTATAATCCTGAAGGAGTAAAACCATCCTCCTCAAAGCCTTCATATTCGATTTTTTTAACTTCTGTATGTCCTTCAAGTTAAACGATGACCTCTGAGCAGCTCGGGGAGAACTTCATGTAATCTCTCTCAGTAGTCTGTGTGGAGGTTACAGTGAGCTGTTATGTGTGAGGGAAGGAGCGTTTACCAGTAGTGACTGCGGTAGTTTCATCTTATTACCTCCTCAAGAGTAAGTGAGTCACATCAGGTAGTGCCAGTTGTCGCGATGTCTGGCTGTGGTGCTGGTGGTGGTGGTGATGGTGGTGATGGTGACGGTGGTGACGGTGGTGATGGTATAGACGGTGTTAGTGGTGATGGTGATGACGGTGGTGATGGTAGAAGTGGTAACGGTGGTGACGGTGGTGATGATGTTGACGGTGGTGGTGACAGTGGTGATGATAGAGATGGTGTTAATGGTAATGGTGGTGACGGTGGTGGTGGTGGTAGCGGTGGTGTTTTATGAGAGGAGGACGAGCTAGAGAAGCGGGGTAAGAAACACCATAGTTTGACGACGTCGAAAGAGAGAGAGAGAGAGAGAGAGAGAGAGAGAGAGAGAGAGAGACTCTTCATTTCGTTATAACTAAAACTCGCTTATTTATTTCTAAGGTTTACGGATTATTTACTTCCCTCATCTGCACTTCATAAATAATCTTACGCTAATTTCTTGTTATAAATTATACCTGCATAATCCCTCGGCTTTTCTAATTCCGGGCAGTAAACATATACCAGAAGGAAACCATTACTCTGCATTATACTAACCTCATGAAATTTGCACACCAGGTAACTAAATAATTATGATAATGCTGTTTTATTCAAATTAATGAGGAGCTAATAATTAAGAAAATATAATAACACATTGCCTTAATCTGAGCTGTGTGATATACCTAGCGCTGTATAACAATGATTCTTGAGTGGCCTACTGAAGGTAAGATGTCATTCATATATTTAAGGTGATTTTTGTTGTCTCTCTAATACACACACACACACACACACACACACACACACACACACCCACACACACACCTATTTCCAGTATACCTGTATATATAATTACGTAAACACACTCTGACAAGAAGTATTTAAAATTATTTCTTTGTAGTAACTAAAACTGAAGCAATAAAGTAGTGCTAATTATATATTGTTAGTTTAAAAAAGACAGAAATTTTTATTCGGTATTCTCAAGAAGTTTAAATAAAAATTCAGATACATATTTCCTTTCACGAAGAGAAGAAAAATATCGTCAGGTAAAAGTTTTATAAGGACTTCCAGCAACGATCCAGGCTAGATGTGACGCCTCGTGGTCCCTTTGTTGTTTCCTCTGCCTCCCTGAGTTCATCACTAACTTTTATCACATTTAATATATATATCTGAATATACCTCAACACTATTCCAAAAATATCATCATTTACGTTATTGGCTATTTCACTACGGCCTGAAATGTAACCGTATTTTTACTTTAGATCTTGCTTAAGGATGGTTTGGAAATGAAAAAAATAACTTTGTCACATGTTTCACGTCTGGTCTGTTTTCCACCCTTTTGAAATGAAAGATGGCCGCCGCCTACCAAAAATAAAAAGAATCCATAGGGACCTAAATGGCTTGAATATAGTCAATATCCATATAATTTTGAAGGTCTTAGTCAAGCGAATGTGTAACATGATGTAATGAATGGGCAAATGAAGCACACACGTCTGTACTGGACTATTAATTAGTTAAAAACATCCACATGTTTCACGTTTGGTGAATTTGTTACAATAGGAGAATAACAGAGTAACATCTTTAAGTACTGGAGTAAATTTCTAGCTTATCTATTCCCTCTACTAACAGACCTGACTCGCTCACATAGAGAAGGAAACTGGGAGTTACATTTGTCTACTGTCCAGCGAGCATTACCAGTCTTATTTGCTTTTAATAAGATGCACAATTCGCGATGGGAATCACTATATTATGAAGATTGTTTGCAATTGCCACACAATTTCTCATCTGTTCGTGCTGAGTTTGGGAAAGAACATTTTATCATGAAACATTCTACCCGGAAATTTACAACTGTTCCAATGGACCACTGGATCAGGCCATGGGGGGATTATGGGACTCACAAGAGGGAAGGCGACAGTAGCTCAGCAAAATAAAGTGTAGATATCTGTGCTTCTTCATCGGTTTTGTGGCCTGAATAGTGAAGTGGAGTACTCGTTACATCAAGAGTTTTCGGCAGCCATAACCAAGCATGAGATTTACATTAATCAAATGTTTTCATGTATTCAGAAAATAGATAACCCTTTTTTATTTGTCGATCAACGGAAAGATGAGAAATTTTGTAACTGGAAAAGAGATCAGTGATGAGAAAGGCAAGTGTATGAGGAATCTGTTGACAGATGTAAGTGAGCGTTTTAAAAGATGGCAAACTTTGTGGTGAGGATGAATCATCATGGCCATAACCTGACAGCGTGCAGGAAAATCTCTTTACCACTTTCATCACCTTAACACCAAGTGTTATATTCCATTAACTTACATGTCATCATCATCATCATCATCATCATCATCATCTCTCTCTGTAACCGGAGGCGAGAAATATCAGGGATATCAAACACAGGATGAGTACAGATGTTTTATTATGAATACACAGCATCACCTTTGATGATTTTGTAGGAAAAGAATAATGATGAGTTGGTCAGGTCTGGGAACTCATAAAAGGACAACGACTGGAGCGAGACAGTGAAACAAATTACCAACACCTACACAACACCCTGTTTACCTCATCACCAAGAGAAGTATCCCGTATGTACACAGCTCGGTTATATCCCGACACTACGAATACTTAAGTTGTACCTACAAGCTCACTTACAGTAGTCTCATCCTCTTTACATGTATACAGTACTAGGAATTGGCTTCGTATTTATTTGATCAATGCAAAAGTTCATTTGGGTGATATATATATATATATATATATCTGTTAGTTCATCACTGTAAATAATCATCACCGATGAAAATCTTTGTGTGTGAGTATATTAATATAAAGCACAATGTAACACAAGTAATGAGGTAACAATCATATAATATAAACACATACTGTATACTGGACACAATCTCAGTAAAATTCTTGAATTCAGAAGAACAAATTCATTATATATTATTATTATTATTATTATCATTATTCAAATAATATCTCTAATCTACAAACTAAATGAATATATATCTGTGCTTGATGTGATGATTTCACTATTCCTTTTAAATTCCTGGCAGAGGAAGGATGATCATGTAAAAAGACGCATCATGATATATACTGTATTCTGATACAAAACCTGTCGGTAAACTCCGTCACCAATACGTCAGATTCTATAAAAGTTAATTAGTTAAGCAGAAAATGCTATACACATGCCATGATTACAAAAAATATATTTCCCCATCTTACTATAGTGACACACCAGCTTTCGTCCTCTGCGTCCCCTAACAACACCAGAGTAAAGCCTTAGGTGTTGTGCTGAGCCACTCACGCCCGACCTTCACCCACTCACTCAACATGTTATGGGTCAAATGTTTATATTCCTTATAAAACGACAAAGACTTTTATATTTATTGCTCTGATTGTCCGAGAAAAAAAATCCATCAGGTGTTTCTGTTGATGAATAAATTAATTTCAATGTTCCAAGGACTGAAAATAGAACGACAAAATTACAGAATGCAAATGCTGTTTGATGCCGTTACCAAGTAAAATAAATCTCTTGTTATATTTGTCTCTCTAAAATGCATCATATTAATAATTTCAGCCACCAGAGAAATTCCTTGGCTTCCTCTATACGAAAACTTTATAACATAGAGACAGAAAGTAAGTCGATAAACTAAATTACTAAAGAATAATGTAATTATTTTGGAGATACAAGAATTCTTCGTCTAATTAAATCATTTAACTGAAGAGAATAACTACGAAGACAGAGAATGCATAAATGTTATTTCTTGACAGTCTGAAACACAAAGACCCGGATAGCAAAATTGACAATCAACTTTTCCGTGTAAAGAAACACCAAAGTGAACCGACAGACAGAAGCAGATTTATATATTCAACACGAGGCCACTACAACACACTTTTAGTTCGTGAACGTTTACAAACAAATACTAGAATTAAGTAATAGTGTACTGTGGCTGTTGATGGAACCTGTGAACTGAGGTGGAACAGTGTATATACTTTAAGAAGATATGTTTTGTGAGTATAAGGGAGTCTGGTTCATTAACTTATATATTTGATTATTATTACTTCCCCATAGAATTATTGAGTTACTGAGATAAACTAAGGATCAACTAAACTGTTCTCTTCATTTTTACCTCCCAAATTATCGTCCCTTTTGAATCATCTTAATTATCACCATTCGAGTTTACGTTCCAGTTGGCATGTAATAGTAATGAAAGAGATGTTAATACTAAGGTGGCGCAGTAGAGGGTCAGCAGAACACCTGAAGGTCAACGCTTGAAGGAGCTCTGCTGTTTGTCGGTAACGGGAAAAATCTGTTTTTTGTTTTTGTTTTTTTTCTCTCTTATTCTACATCAGTATTTAGTTATGGAAACCTTTACAGTCCTGAAGGCAGCTCTCTCTCTCTCTCTCTCTCTCTCTCTCTCTCTCTCTCTCTCTCTCTCTCTCTCTCACAGTATAAGTCACATACTTATTAACAAGTATCAAACTCACACTGTTCCTCTGTCTCTGTTGTCTCTATTAAACCTGAATACGTATGAAATTTGTATAAAACCTACCAGCCATATTTATTTATTAACATAAGACTAGAACGAAGAGTAATTGATGAAAATAAATGGTTCTTAAATATGAAATTGAAAAATAGAGTTTTACTTCTTGAAATAAACAAGGGTTATTATTGGTCAACTTAAACGTATAGGAGTCAAAACTACTGCATTAAATGATAAATAGAAGTACTGACAAAAAGTTCAATAACCCTCAACACCTTCCACAGATTCTACCTTAGACTCCAAAGTCATCTGATTGTGGTGACAAAGTTGCCAGTTGAAAGACAATAATGTTTCGGTGAAGAGAACGACTCCAATAAACATATGATTGACTTAATACAAAACAAAAGATTAATAATTAATTAACCAATGGCTGCAGTAATTTTTTTTTTATGATAATAATTATGGCTTTGAAATATGTAAGAATGTTTCCCATGAGTTCAACACAGATCATCAAACTCTAAATTATTACCGCCATACAGAATAGTTATTTATACAAAACTAATCACATAATGTCCCAGAAAGCATGAATACAACCCTGGTTTAAAATCCAGGCCAGTTTGTGAGGCTTAAAGTTTATTGTTAACAGCATGTATGAGTGTGTATAGACATGTACATAATGAAGAAAGTGACTATCTCTCGGTGAGGTCATGGAACTTGGCCACAGCGGAGCCGAGTAGGATGAGGGCGAGCAGTGACTGACAGTGTATGCTGGTACTCTCTCCTCCCTGCATCGCCGCCGGGTGCTCTCCTGCTGGGGTAAATATTGGTTGCTTAGTCCAAGTTATTACAGAATATACAAACTACTTATGATAACCTAACCTTGCCCTTACTGTTATAAAACAAAACACAAGTTAATATTACCAAGCTCACAAGTCCTTTTAAGTTATGATAACAGATCGACTCTAATTTTTGTCTCTGTTGTACTTACTGGTTATTTATGGAGATACACAAACCTAATTTAAACTAGGGGTTACTAACTAATTATAGGGGGGACACACAGACCATACATTGTTATAATTAATCTTACTGTTTAATTTGTTATAGGTAGATTGTTTTTTTTGTCAGTTAATGCAGGTAGTGGGTCGAGGAAATTACTCTTGTGATTAAAACCGTCTGTGTGTTGTAGAGGCTCGGGGTGACGTTGTGCCTCCAGAGGGATTATTTGATTACTAAACCTGCCAGTCAGTAAGGTGTCAGCAGTTGGGTGTATGATCAGCGTCAATCACCGTCATGTTAGTTCCAGGACAGCTGACACCTCGAGTCCTGAGTCTCTCACTAAAGTCGGTGGACATTACTGGTTGAATAACACTTAAGCTCGAGATGATAACAAAGGAAGCGGTAAAAATCATGTGGACTTAAGTGATCAGTTCCCTAAAATATAAAATAATGTATATATTTGTTAGTTGTTATTTGTTGGCGTGAGGGAAACAAATGAATTTTAAGAGAGTTAGGATAATTACTACTTATTGGAGTATATTTGGTTAATGTCCATGTGTGTGTGTGTGTGTGTGTGTGTGTGTGTGTGTGTGTGTGTATTATTCAGGCAGGTATTCTCTCTATCGTTTTAAAATTATATGTGATTCAGTGTTGGTGTAGACGTGTGTGTCAGGGTGAGTCCTAACATGATCACAGAAGGTCATATAAAACACTCCATTAATTCAGACGTGGAGAACTGCCTTTGTCCTACACGTCTCCTTCACTATCGACCTCCTCCACCACCTCATCAAGTCAGTTCCTCCCGGACAGCCTCTTAACACCTATTATGTTCCTCTGTTTTTCTTCCCCGTGTGTAAGAATGTCCTCCCGTCCTTCCTCCTCGTATAGGATGGATTCCTCTCCCCTTAAACAGTGTTCTCTGCGTACTTCCTCTTCCCCCTAAGACGTAACTCACACTGTCTTGGCTCCCTGGGAATAATAAACTTCATTCCTTGATTCACCCAACACCGTAAATCTCTCTAGATATCCTTCCCTCCTTTTCTCTTACTTTTTACATTTTATCATTAATTCTTTGTTTCTTTATGTATTTTTTTTTACTCGAACAGCATAATTTTGCCTTTTTTTCCAGTAAATCATAAATCTCCCTTGGCCCTTGGCGAGTGAGTATATATTGATATATCGACCTTTCTGTCCATTAATCTTTGCTGCTGTTCATTCATCAATTTTCCTGCGTTTTCTTGTTCTCGTTCACTACTGGTGTTGGTTATAATTACTGACAGTGACTGGAGGTCGTTCAGGTTCAGAACGCTTGCCTTACAGAGTTAATCTTGAACCTTCAATACCTCCTCCCATCCCCAATTCGCCGTACCTGCACGAGGCGACAGATACTCCATCCTGCAGTAGGCGAGTGTCTTCGTAGTTATTTATATCCTCAAATATACACAGGGATTTTTTTTAAGGTGGTGGCTGGCCAGTAAACCTTCCACCTGTTATATGCTCTTCATCCTCTTACCCGATCATTAGTGCTAGAATTTTACATCAGCCGTTGGTTTAATGTTAAAATTATATTGTAATTTTACTTCATCTCTTACTTTATATATTTTTGACAGAGTTTTCTAATGCTCTTTAAATGAGCTGTTAGGCCTGCCTGACACTCATGTTTCTTCCTAGATTCAGTAATGTGTTACATACTGTACTGTACTAGTTATGTGCTACGCCATCATAGGAAACCTGGCGATGTTTTGTCAGAAAGAATTGAACTAGAGTGCTTTATTACCATTTTTGGGGGGGATAATTAACTTCTTGCAATGTCATCAAAGTAAATACCTTCGAATTTTAGTAACCTCATTCAATAACTCGCTAAATATGGAAATTTTGCCAAGGTAATTTTTTTTTCCATGCATTAGCGTCATCATATTAACTAAAAGCTAGAGTGAATTGTGATTGTATAATACACTACTCTTGATTTTGACATCCCTGTTAGTCAGTCCTTTTCTGATGTTAATACTGTACACATTTAGGTTGTTTTTCTTCAACTGAACATTATTACTCGGGATGTTGCCGCTTCCTTGGTTTGTCTTCCCTGTTAGATCTCAACCTCACGAGAGACAAGTCACTGATAAAGTATGTAACTAATTAAGTATAGATACAGTTAAGTTAATCAGTAAATCTTTTTTCCCTGGCCATTCCAGTGAGCCAGAGCTTCACCTCCACTTGGATCTGTACTAGAAAGTCTCTCCCATGTTCAGATAAAATGTTCAGACTTTTGACTGATTATCTTTTTTTTTCCTAATCTATTTATCTAGTTGAATTATTAAAAAGGTTTTCCTCTGAACTAAAACCTTGTTCTCTCTCTTATATTAAATTATCTTAGAATCTGGGACTGACAGCACTTTCTTCATATCTTCCTCAATTATTAAGCGCTTTGACAACAATCTTACAAAAATCTACATAAACTAGAAAAAAATGAACGATTAAAATAGTCAATAAATGAAACGTTCTCACAAAAGCTAAACTCGTTGGACAGGTGTAGGTGTTGGGAGGCTGATGGACTGTGGAGAAAGAACAGTCCTAAATATTTATCTCTCGTCTTTAATGCTCCTGCAATTGAGCTGCGGTAATATTAGTTATTTAATTCATGATGTTTGATCTTGCAGAAGAGAGCCTCATAATGAATGATGTCTGAACAAATTTATCCTTTTAAAAATTAAGGACATAATTCGCGGAATATTTTGGTGGAGAAAATTCCTCACAACGAAGATTATTAATTTGTATTTCGGGAATATTGTCTTCTTATTTTCCTGTTCAAAAATCTTCTTACATCTCCCAAATTTTTGTTTCTCGTGTCGTATGGAAAAATCTTAGTTGTCGTTCAAGTCAATTTTTTTTCACAAATGTCTATAACATTTCACGAGAATTACTTTACTTAAGACATCTTTCTGAGTCATTATTCACTTCTTTGCCTCATTAAATAACACTCTAGTCCTCTTTACAGATTTATACACTATAGTAAAACAACACAAACTTGTATTTTATTACACATATCAGTAATAATATAGAGTCAATTTGTCCCATTGCTCTATGTCGTGAAAATCCAATCTCTGGTGATCCTGCGCAAGTTAGATCCACGTCGTCCGTTGGTAGTAGTGGTTGTGGTGGTGGTCGTGGTGGTGGTAGTAGTGGTGGTGTTGGTGGTAGTGATAGTGGTGGTTGTAGTAGTTGTAGTATTAGTAGTAGTGGTAGTAGTAGTAGGTCACACCCCTGGATTATATCAGCGCCATTAATTTTCACTTCAGGTTACATCCTCCAGCTCTCCAAGATTTTGTGTGTGAGATTTAGAAGCAAAATAGGACATTGGAAGTGAGTTTGAGGAGTATGGAGGACTACAGCTTGTGTGACTGAAGGACTATTGAGGGAATATGGAGGGTTGTAGGTAGGTTATGAAGGGGTTGAAGGGCTATGAGAGGGAATAAGGAGGGCTATAGGTAGGTTATGAGGGGGTTGAAGGGCTATGAGAGGGAATAAGGAGGGTTATAGGTAGGTTATGAGGGGGTTGAAGGGCTATGAGAGGGAATAAGGAGGGCTATAGGTAGGTTGTGAGGGGGTTGAAGGGCTATGAGAGGGAATAAGGAGGGCTATAGGTAGGTTATGAGGGGGTTGAAGGGCTATGAGAGGGAATATGGAGAGTTATAGGTAGGTTATGAGGGGGTTGAAGGGCTATGAGAGGGAATATGGAGAGTTATAGGTAGGTTATGGGGGTAGTGTGGAGGGTTACAGTAAGGTTGTAGGACTGAAGAAATCTGGAAGCCTGTGTGGACGATTGTAGATATATTAAGGTAAAATAGTTATGTGGGAGAGTGTTGAGGGTTAGAGGCAGATTAGGGACTGATTAGTAAAAAAAATATAGCGTAGTGTGTGGAAGTGTGTGGGAGAGTGTGGGGGAGTGTGTGGGAGTGTGTTGGAGAGTGTGGGAGAGTGTGGGACAGTGTGTGGGAGAATGTAGGAGTGTGTAGGAGTGTGTGGGAGAGTGTGTGAGAGTGTGTGGGAGAGTGTGGAAGTGTGTTGGAGAGTGTTGGAGAGAGTGGGGAAGAGAGCCATGGGATAGTTAGAGTGAAGAAAATGTTAAGAAAAAATAAAATATTTTAAGATTGTGTAGATGACAAATGCTGACAAAAGTTAAAGGTTCATATTGAAGCCTTGGAGGTTCCGTTTGACCCTCTGATGTCTGGTGAATCCTTCCTCATGAAGTAATATCACGGAAGTTGACTGCAAGGATCCAAAGGTCCCACCTGATCACGAAGACAAAATGTGAAGGAGAAATGATACTTTAGTGAGAATGAAGGATAATGGAAGGTTTGGAGGACATAGTAACTGGATAGTTTGATGAGAGAAGAGAATGTGGGAACAGACTGGACTTTTTTTTATATATAATACAAGAATTGGTGGTACTTCAACAATGTTAGGCCTATGTTATAGAGGGGTGGTGGAGAACACGGGTTATGTTATCGTTGTATGTGTGGTGGGTTATATTTGAGGAGATGTAGAGTGATGGAAGAATTAAGGAGGTAAACTATGCCAACAGGATGCTGGGAATGTTCAGTGACGTGTACCTGTAGACAGTGTTCATAGTAACAGGAGTCGTAACGGCAGACATAATGGGATATCAGTGGAGGGAAAAATTAAAGACTTGATGATAGATTTTAACGCACTTTAGGTTTTGGGTGCCTCTAGGATTCAAGATTATTCAAAGGACTATATATATATATATAATCTTCTTTGGGAAATATTCTCATTTTCTCTATAAGAACGTATATGTAAATATTTTGAGGGAAATCGAATAATAAACAATTGGATGAGCAGGAACCAAATTAAGTTTGAAAATGTAAAAGAAGATAAATGGCGCCAGTAGAGTATAACTGCAGAAAGTGAATGTTTAATGCCTGTTGTTGGACAGCAGAAGACATGGTCTGGCACAGTATCTGGCTATGTTTTATAGAAGGTGAAAGAATCCACTGAGACAAAAAAGACAGATAAATGTTGCAAGGGAGGGAGGAAGCATAGACCGTGGGTAGTGTCTGAAAGATCTGAGTTTTCTTCTTTCCAAGATAAAATATTTGTGAAGACGATTTAGCCAGACTGAAAATCTTCCATAATGATGATGGAGACGAAGAAAAAACAATAGGAGAAACGTGAGACTGATCGATGTAAAATTACAAGACAAGAGTGGAGGAAGAAATTAGATGAGAATTGAGAATGATAATCTAGCTCTTAAAAAGTCTTAAAGGAAGACTTCAGGAGCTCTGAGGAAATAGTTTTGTATTTGCGATACAAGTATAGAAAGGAATGGATGAATACCTAAAAGATGCAAGATACAGAACAAAAAAAAATGAAAATATAGAAAACGCAATAACCAGAGGACAGGAAGAGGGAGGGTAAAAAAAAAAAAAAAAAAAGTGTGGCCTAGATCTGCTGTTGTCCAACTTGTCCTCAACTCTTCCCTCAGACTTTACTTTCACTCTTTCTGGACGTACTGTAAGCCGTACTTTTTCCTCACCACTGTCTCGTCACCTGTTCCCCGTTTGGTTCTGCTTTAAGTCCTGCCCTGTGTTGGACGCCTCCCCTCCTTAGTGCATAATTCAACACTTACTCTAACAAACGTAATGAACCACCAACTGTACCTATACCTTACAATGTGGTCACTCTAGCCTTACCCGTCCTCTCTCTGCTATTTCTGTTTTTAATTATAATCTACAGTTGTATTGTCAATCACTTTAATTCCCGCCTCCCGTACCTATTTTTCTCCTTTCGTCTTGACACCAATAAGAGACTATGTCCTTTATTCCGTCATTATATACTCTTTTATTCTGAGTCTGGCCTCTACTCCCTGGTTACCCGAGCTTAAGCCAATGCTGTCCCCGCAATCCCGTGTGTCAGGCCTTGGGTGACTCTAGTCCTGGCCTCCTGAAAGTCGAGACTACTCCACCTATACTCACACTATATCTAACCTCTGTATACCTCTCTGGCCTAACTTCTCCCGTTATTGTGTCTGCCTCTTGCCCTCTATCACTGCCCTCCCCTTGCCCTTACCTCTTACTTTCTGCCCCTCTTACCCCTACTCTGTCCCTCTGCTCTCTATCTCTACGCCCCCCTGCTCTTAACTTTGTCCCCCTGCCCCTCCTATATTTGCCCCCTACCTCTGACTTTCTGACCTCTACCTCTGCCCTCTGCCTCCTACATTTGCTCCTCTGGCCACCCTGTTCCCTATATCTGCCCCCCTGCCCTTTACCTCTGTCCCCCTGCCTCCTACTCCTGCCTCTCTGCCCTAGTCTATTTTTGCTATGCGTGTGGCCCTGTCCGTACCGTTAAGGATGTAGACGCTGACAGATGCAGGCTCGGCGTTGGCTGGAGCACAAGTGTAGTTGCCGGAGTCTGCCGTCGTGGCCCTGGTGACTACTAGCCTGGAGGTGCGGGAGTGTTTGTCTGTGACTACGCTGATGCCGCCCCTGGAGCTGTAGTTGATGAGGGTGGTGCCTCGGTACCAGTAGATGTACTGAGGGGGCTCCGGGCTGCCCGTCACTGAGCACGTCAGGTTAATGTTGCTGCCGCTCACCATGTGGATCTCCCGAGGGCCCGCCACATGCGCCTCCGCTTCTGCCGAGACCAAGCTCATTAATACCTGGGACGTGTACGTGTTGGGCTACATATGTTGGACTACCTTAGGGAGCTGTATGTGTTGAGCTACATGGCGGGGGGCTGCCTGTATAGGACTACCTTGGGGGGGCTGTATGTGTTGGACTACATGACGGGGTCTGTATGTATTGGACTACCTTGTGGGGGCTATATGTGTTGGAGTGCCATGAGGTGTTGCAGATGATCAACCTTATGGCAGAAAGGCTGATCATGTAGGATCATATGATGTGAAGGTTGACTGAACGTATAGGTCTATAATGACGATAAGGCTGAAAGTCAATAGGCCTATATGACGGTAAAGCTGAACGTTTATAATTACATGGGAGGAAAGAGGTTTTTAACATGAGACTAACAAGTGTAACATAAATCTCAGGTTATTGAAGTGTTGAAGAAGATGGTTTGAGCATACCAAGAAAACAATGCAGGCGTCATTATAATGATATAAACCACCACTAATGGGATAAGCCAAAATGACCTTAAATGTAGAACTATCAAGAGGGGGAGGTGGGGGGGTAGGTAATCTATGGGGTGAGGTACATGAGAGGGGCTGAATATGTGGGACTGCTTAGAAAGGAACACAGTTAAGGGGCTACAACAACAGATATGTAACTATGGTATTACCTGGGAAGGATTATGGTTGTAGGTCTATTGTAGAATTGTTGTAGTTGTTGTATTATTTGGGGATATTATCATCTGTGTAACTAACATGAAGAGCTATCATTTGTGGGGCTAATTATCTAACTACCATGAAGGGCTATCACATCTGGGATTACAGATTCTGGTTCCCAAATACTATCATTAGTTCAGTGTAGTAAAGTGAGAAGTTGTCAGTAACATTAATAAACATTTCATCATGTATAATTTCAGACTTTACTAAATACAAGTGTCATAGTTTATTCCCATTCAATTCCCACTATAACCTCTTAACCTCACAATACCCGGAAATAAAACAAAGGTTCCCGGGATATAACACAACACAGAAATATAAGGCATTATACTAAGCCTTACATTACATCGTTAATGAAATTCATGCATGGAATATTTTTTTCTGTGAACGATCTATGGAAATATAAGCAATTAATTTCGTTATATAGATTTCAGTTTAGTTAACTTTAATTGGTTTGTTTTGTTTTCTAAGATAAATTCACAGCGAAAATACGGGTCTATTGATATAACCAATATGTAAAATAGTGAATAACATGACATTAGTTCACAGCAAACTATCCAATTTGTTCAATAAAAAAACCCACACATTTCTTAAACCAGCAGATAAGTGACTACTGAAGCAGAGGAAAGTAGTGGGAGGTCAGGAGGTCACAGATAATAATCAGTTCAGACGGAAATTCACATCAATCAACAAGTCATTACACATTAAACAAATTTAACCAGAATTTCAGGGGTACTTCATGTCCCCTGCAAGACATCTTCCCTCGTTCACATCTGTATGTTAGGTACAGTGCCATGATAGTTTTCTTTAGCAGTATGGCAAAATACTACACGATCACTGGACACATCGTCTCCAACTTGACTTGTAAAAACCATAATGATCATTAATAAGACTTTCTTTCATTTGTAATGTCATAATAATGATAATTTCTTAATTTTTCCCATACATAGAAGTTTTCAGTATAGTATTAACACTGCGGTATTATTTTTTAGTGCGTAAAATTAATTTCATAAATCACTTGTGTTTGCAACCACTGGCCCGTAGTCGAGAAAATATTTACGAGAGAGAGAGAGAGAGAGAGAGAGAGAGAGAGAGAGAGAGAGAGAGACTCCCTTCACACGAGTGTTGTAGACATCCCTAACATTAAAAAACACGATCCCAATTATTCATTATAACAAGTCATCCCGGCATCCCCCACCTAACAAGGCAAATGTTGTTATCCAGTCTAGTATCCGGGTACCGTAAACACCACAGTCTCCCCACGGCGTCCTCACCCCTCCGCCACACTAACTCACAAACTTTTTACAGCCCGCCACCCCCGAGAGTTCACATTGCAAGATCCATTTTCTCTCGGGAAATATGCATCTGAAGGACAATTTTCAACCGTGAATATATTAGTAAATACACAGAATATGTAACAGATTGATCTACTGCATTGTTTATTGATTAATTTATTTATTCCAAAAGGTGTGTAAACCTGGGAAATTAGTTTGGTCTTGGAACCATTAAATTATATGATCATATATCTCTTGCATAGGTTCTTGAGTGACAGACAAAACAAAACACAAAAATCAGATTTAAATCAATAAATCGACTGTTTTATAATATTTATGCTGAGTAATAGTTCCTACTTCCCACGTTTAATATCTCTGACTTAGGTGGTAATGCATATAGTAGGAACTCTGTCAGCTGGAATGATTTAAGGCCTCGAAATCAATGGAATAATCTCGCTGAAAGTCTTAGTTTGCCAGTGTGGAACTTGAGGGCTCATATTAATAATTCCGGAGAGGATAAGACGGAGGAATCTCTCTCTCTCTCTCTCTTCCTCACTCTCTCATTTTTATTATATATATTGTATATTCTTGACATTCCACAAAAATATCACCATTCATAGATTATTACGATTTTTTCATACAAAACTAAAAACAAATTTATCGGCTCATAATAACAATTTCCAGGATAAAGTGATTTTTTTTCCTTCCTTGAAATTTAAGATAACTTTGAGTACTTTCGTTTCCTTGGATTTATTAAGGGTCTACTGCGTAATGTATCAGTAAAATATCGGTATGTCTACGTGCCTGAATACAACTATTAGATAAGCTACAAATTCTTCTTGAGGTCTTACATATGCTTACGCTTTTCATTTTTCTATCAAATTACATCAAATGAAATCCCAGTCCCCGTCAGAACAAGACAGACGACAATAAACACTTCCTCCGTTTAGTTTCTGATAGTATATGCAAGTGGCGTCAGCAGGTACAGGCAGAGGGTGGTTGTGTGGTGTACCCGGGTGATATCAGGAGCACCAGGGAGCCGTAAGCAGTGTGGGAGGTGGAGGATCATGTATCAGACATAACAGGTGGAAATGGCCCGGCAATGTATCAGGTGGTGGCAGTATAATGTTGTAAACCACTCCAAGTAATAAACCTAACTTGAATGTTTCAGATTAATGGTGTATCACAGAGTGTGGGCGGGCGGGCGGGCTGGCGGGCGGCTCAACTTTCTTATTTAATTACCTCGTATCTGGGGAGGGATTCTTTTTGACGCTCGGGTGCATCATAGATATGTTACAAGAATCTATATAATGTATATACTCCTTCACTGTTTATCGCTGGTACCACGAAGACAACATTGATATTATGCAAGCAACAGAAGTAACTCTGATTTCCTGCCGCCTGTTGTTTATTCCACCTTCAGGAAATACCCGGCTCTTTGTCTCAGAAGTAAATCCGCAAATATATTGATTGATTGGTAAAATCTATGTCATTCGGATATGGAAATAGAGATCCATACCAGCCTGTGTTATACTCTAAACTTATTTTCCGGTTTTGAAATTTTATCACAACAAAACCAAAAACGATAGAATTGTGAATTATATAAAAAAAAATTACAGCTTGTTGCATAATTAATGAATACCACAGGTGTGTATCTTGACATGTAGAGCAATTTACCTGGTCTCCACTTGAAAAAAAAGTTGGAAATCTTCGTATTTTTCTGCGTCTAATCTGGAGTTTGATTGTGCCTAACTTCCTTAAAGAGAATTTTCTTGTCACATGGATTGGACACAAAGGGCTTGTCTCCTGCCCCCATCCCACGTTCCCCTGATACACGCCCTTAGACTTCTTTTGTGGGGATATATCAAGGATTATATTTTCCAGACCCGAGTTGACGACATTGAAACACTTGGGTGGGTGGGTGAGTGAGGTACACTTACCACACGGTGTCAATAACAACAATGCCATTAAGACAAAGCAGCTGCACGTTATAACTCTATTGTTTACTTTTGTTAATCAGTTAACTTTCCTGTTTGTCTTTGTCATCCGATAATTAATACTATTTATAAAGGTTATTTATGTCCTTAATATTGATTTTTACTAAATACTACAATATGTCGACTTATAATAATACACTCCCCCAAAAATACTCGTACGAATTCCGCCATTTTATTCAGGAAGTCAAATAATAACTGGAAATTGTGAGCAATATGAAAGCTACAAAGTGTCTCGCCTTTCTTGAAAATGTCCCTTTATCGACCAATAAGCGGAGAGGGAGGTTAAGTTTCGGGCAAAAAGATCACCTTATACACTAACCTTATTACATTATTATTTTGGGGGGGATAACATCAAAGAACGCGGGACAAGAAGTCAATACACAGCTTAAGTTAGGAATGTGTGAACGTTGTGCATCCTTGGAGGGAAGAAGGACCCTCTCAGGTAAATCTATTAGCAGCCTCACTGGCTCTGTTAATTAGCTAAGGTAATAGCCTGAAAATGACTTCCATATATAGGCACAAACAGATTCGCTTCCCTGTGTGCAAGTACAAGAACAAACAATATATACAGGTGTATATGACCGCACAAACACAAACGTAATTACAAACACACAACTACAATACGTAATAATATACTAGAGTGAATGCACGTTTCTTTATATAAACACCTATTGTACTCATCCTGTGCTTGACTTTACTTATTCCCGAACATTTTTTTTTTTGCTTCTCCCCATCGTTATCACTCATTTCTCCTCTTTACGATTCTCGGGTATTTGCCGGAGCTACGCTAAAGTGTATCGTGAAGTCTGAGAGTAGCTAGTAGATATGACTCACCCTCCTCCGACCCCTTATGAAAATTACCTTCACTATATCCAATTTTGTTTTAAGATTACACAATGTCTTAGTATCCGGAAGACAAGAAGCACCTTAATAAAGAACCAAGGTTCATGATGCTGATAGAAGTATATTAGAGACATTTGAATATAAAATAAGAAATTTACTCATATACCAAAATTAAAAGTATTTATTTGCTGCTAAAATATCATCGCAAATAAGTAAAACTAATGTCACATAATGCCACATAACGTCAGTATTAAGGTCCTGTTGCCAGACGTGAAACACTGACACGTAAAAAGACACAAGACCATTGAATCAAGGGGCGTGGGGGGGTGATTATAGGGGGACGCTGCAGTTTAACACAGGAGTTGCTGCAGCTACTCCATTTTTATTTTCCTGTGTTATCTCCCGTTGTGCTCCTGTGTTGATACATTACTGCGAACATCATCGTCAGTACTAAGTATAGGGAGACCATTACAGGGGTTCTTCCTCGTGTCAGCTGCCTGGCGAGATAAGTCAGATGGAACGACAAAATAACAAGGTTTTTTCCGAGAGTGAATCTTGAGTCAAAACATTGAATTTCTCGCCTTTACTTGATATTACAGGTCATTTGGGCGTCTGAGTAACCTTGTGGCAGACGGCAGTAGGAGAATAAAACGATGTCTACTGAATATGTTTTTCTAGTTCTCTGGTATCAATCTCTCAGTAATGGGGCCACTAGACTGTCGTATACTAAAACAGTGTCCTAATCCATAATGTAGAGAGAGAAAAAATAGCAATAAATTTTCCGCAATCCGCTTCTCCATACATAATATTGACTCAGCTCAAAGGGTAGGATATGTTTTCTTTATACCCATCTGTGTGTGTGTGTGTGTGTGTGTGTGTGTGTGTGTGTGTGTGTGTGTGTGTGTGAACAACAGGTTACAGCCGGGTATATATAAATAGAGTAGAAGTCACATACACGAAAGTCTTTATAATAGACACAAAATTAGTGACTCTATTTGTAAACAAGAGCAAATATAACACTAAGCTACAAAGTCCACGAATGGATAGATAAAGAAAACGAAATATGGGAGAAAGAAGAAAAAAGGAGGGAAAAATAAACCCACACGACCTCCCCGAAAACAACTTTTAGCCTTACCAACAACCTGGAGTCTGAAGGCTCTTGACATCTTAGGTTCGGTGGAGATTTGACACTCGTACGTCCCGGAGTCAGAGATCTGCGCAGACGCTATGCGCAGTGTCCAATCGTCGGAACCCTCGGAGTGTAAGGCCGTGAATCTATCATCGGTGGTGTAGGTAAAGAGCCCTACCGTCAGCACGTGCACATCCTGTTTCCTGATCCACGTCACCTGCCAGGGAAGAAAATTTAATATGAAATGACTTTTCCAGAACCACCTGCCACCAGTAGACAAGAAAACCTAAAGTAGTACCAAAGACCAGATGGAAGGCAAAGGTAAAATAACAACACTACAGGTTTATGCGCCACAAGACTATAAATTTACAGAAGGATGGAGTACATGATAACCTGCTAAACACTGATGTGGGAGAAGATAAAGACAACAAAGGTCATTATTAAAGTTTGAGATGTATATGTTGGTGCTTGGTGAGTATAATTTGGGAGTGTGTTGGGGGCAGTTATGATGTAGGAGAAAGAATCCTGAAGGGGAAATAGATATTGAGGAAAATATTGGTGTCATGAATTCTCTTTTCAAGCACAAAACAGATACAGGGATGTGACAATGATCAAGCTTGTGATTTTAAAAATAACAAAGTTTAAGCCTTAAATTCTCCTAACGTATAATAGTGAACGTTTCAATGTGGAAAGGCTGAAGTCTTCGGAAATAAGAGACGAGTTCCCAAAGAATAAAAGAGGGAGAGAGATAGAGCAAAATCTGGTCCTGGACATTGAGATGTATTCAAGAAGAAATTTACAGGGACAGCGGAGGAGACAGTGGAAGTGAAACATCTGGTGGAACATGAGAAAAGCGAACACCGTGGTAGACTGAACAAAGTTTGAGGAGAAGTTACTGAAAAAGACGAAAACTTTAAGAATTTAACATGAGGAGGTAGGATAGCAGAAACCTGTCAACAATATTAAGTAGCAGGAGATGAGACAATGAAGGGATTATTATTAAAGGCTAAATTCTGAGAGACTCGACAATATTCCTGTTGTCTTAGACTGGGAAAGCTTACGAGTGGGTCCTTGAGAAGAGACTGAGGAAGCTGGGTGGAACAACGTTTAGGTGACTGACAATACGAATTTGGTCATGATAGAAGCACAATAGACCTGATTTTCTCTCCGGGAGTGGAACAAAACTGCACGTATGGTATTTTCATATCTCAAAAGGTGCATTTTTTTCACGTTCCAGGAAATAGGTCTGGCAAGCACTTGAAGAACCCCAGTGCATCTATCATTCTAAGAAAAGGAAGCGTAGAAATACAAGTGGAGTTTGATATAGCGTTTTTCTTAGATCCTAATGAGTAAACGCTTTTGCCCATGTGGATGAATTTATTGTAGATATTCCCCTTAAAAATCACATATGGAGTCAAGAGAGTAGATGACTAAGACGACCAAGGATGAGACAAAATATATAACAGACAACATAAGGAAGAAACTCAACAATGGAGAAGACGAAGGATGTATGATAAAAATGGTGAGAATTGGTCATCTTATTTCATCTTATTATTAAAGAAAACAGAAGAGAGGCGAGGATGTACTGTGACCTGAGTTATCTGCTTCAAATAACACTAGATACAATATGTCATATCTAATTAATATTACCTCCAAAAATTATCAGTTTGAAGCAGTCTATGCGTGACGATTGATAAATACAACTGTTATTGGCTAGATAATTAATGTTAATTTATAAATGTTGAAAAAAATTGTAATAATTACAAACCATATGATTCAGAATTAAATTTGATATAACTCACTCGAAACTCCATTGCTAATTATATCACTAACAAATTAGCAAACACTCCACTGAACTTTAGTTACCATCAGTAAAAATTACATAATAAAAAATAATAGTTCTGATACACACGATCACACAGTTAAAATTTCCGATATTCTCTCGTTAAGAACTTTGAAATTTCCCCGATATTAGCAATTAGGAATTTGGGGAGAGGGGGGGAAGTAATTTTCTGAATGTCTACGAAGTATATTCAGGATTGTATATTTCCCGTATACTGTAAATCTCACCCTCAGCCTCATTTCTCTCTGATATATGTATTATTCTAGACAACGATTATTACAGTGAATGGATACACAAACTCGAACTTATTTCCCTTTAATGTTCTCGTAACTCATTCCTGGCGAGTCGTAGTTCAGCAGAAAAAAAAAATCATCATAAAAGTCGATAATAATAGTTCTCACACTTAACAAAAGGCCTAAGACTAGCTTCAAACTTAGATGTGTCGTATGATACTTTTGTTTCCATTCAATCTTAAAAAAAAAAAAATCCGATATTTTCCTCGATACTGACAAGAACTTATTGTCTGTTTCTTTACCCTTGTATTCTACTTCACGATTCATTTCTCCCCATCGTGCCTTTGAGCGCCGCTGCCATAAAGGGTCATCAACCAGCGCCATCTATTATAGGTTTTATGTTGTCAAGTTAATGTTAGACTTACTACTAGTGTCTTTCTCTATCACTCTTTGTCTGCCTTACTGATTCAGATTGCTTCTCCTCTGTAATAGGTTCTTATTACACACTAAAGCTGCTTAATGTGACGGTCTTAGTCTAGATTCAAGTGAAGTGAACCAACAGAGTATACAATGCAATAATATAATCAATAGGGAAATAAAATACATAAGTACCTTTTTATTATACAAGTAACTGGCTTTTATTTTTACACTTGCTATTACCATTCTGATTTGTCATGTCTTAGAAAATTAGGTGTATTATGAGAAAAAAGATGGAATTTTTTTTAAGCATCCCCACAAATGTGATTTTCATACACTTACGGTCATATATTTTTTCCATATGTTCTTTCTCTCACTAGACTATTTACAAACTCTGCTTCTCTTCTGCTGCTTTCCTGAATCTTGCTCTCATTCATGTGATGTTGACCATTCACCAAATCATATCATTAATGTTCTTGTCTTGCAGATATAGGACCGTTAACTTGATTTTATATTCCACAATCTCCTTCCAGTATAATAAGTAACATAACAGAATTATTATTACGCATTAGAAGTGACAGCTTCCACTGTTATTTCAATGGTAAGTTTAATATTGAGGTACAGTCCACCACCTTCCCACTTTTCAGCTCCCAGTGACAATACCCGTCATTCTTTAGTATGTAGTTCTTACTCTGTATAAGCTCCATTCAGTCGAACTTTATCATCATTCACCTCCTTCACACCCGAACTTGTCGTCTATGAAACCCCTCCCTTTACTCTCACTGCTTTCCATCCAGAGAAAACTTACGACTCTTTATACATGAGAAGTATATATACCAACCTCTTATTGCACACATTAAGTATGCATTTTCATATTTCTTATCCGTGGTGTAACATATAAACCTAGCTTGAGTGTGGGTCACCTTTCATTGGTGTTACCCTTCATAGGACACACTGTCATCTGTACCTCTCCCAGTCTATCAGCAAGTGGTAACATTATGTAGTCAAAAGCAATAGAGTAGAAGGTAAGGAAAGTTGCATTAACACCTCAGATTTTTGTATAGAGAAATTATAAAGATATTATATGCTTATGAAATTTATTATTACAGTGAAGGTGATTTCATAATTTGACCGTGACGTTTAAGGGTTTGACGGATAGACAGACAATGTGTAAAAAAAAGAAAATTGGAAACTGACTAAGTCGCGTTCTTGTATAGGTTTATGATTCACCCATGTGTTATTATATTCAAAATTCTCTACCTTAACTTCTATATAGAGGCCATAGTTTACTGATAAAAAAATCTTACATCTGTTCACCTCGATGTTATCTCTGGCCACGATAATATATTTTTAAGACAAAGTATTAACAAGGAATGACATCCAAAGCCTGAACTGAATCTATGAATAATACCATTATTTACCCCACACTGTACCCTACTGAGCGTGTAAACATAAGACCTAAGCTTCACGTGAGCAGGGCTGTTGTTTTTGCCCTGACACCCAAAAGCGGCCGTGTGAAACAAAAAGAAGCATTTAACTGCAGTGATATCAACAGCTGACAGGATTAAGAATCACGTGAACAATGAATGTCTCCAAAAGCCTTTCCAAAAAACTAGCTGGAGGGGGACCCGGTGTTGTAGGATATCGTTTTTAACAAAGTAAAGTTTCCTAGAATGGGTGCAGCCATCACCCCCATAGACCAAAATTAAAAGCTCATGCCAAAAATAATCTCGCCAAACACCAGCGTTTTTGACGAGTTGTAGTACAATTACTTGCGGAGAAAAAACTCTCAAAATAGAATCCACAGTTGTAGTTTACATTGTGATGTTATTACTGCTACTTCATAATCTTAGGTCTTTAAGCACATAACAAAGTTACTAATTACACTAATCCATGTTCTCCGGCCTTTGTCACACATTAGATTGAGAAAGTGAAAACGGTGAAGTGCAGTGCCGGATCAGGCTGTCCTTAACATGTAATCATACCTATAAAACCCCTTTCATCTACTTCATTGCGTACTATTTGAGTACGACGACATAGTACAAAATTGGCCAAGTTATCTTACTAATGAGTCAATAAAACCATCAGCTGCTCCCAGTTCTCATACTCAAGAAATAATGTTGCCTGTAATTTGTTTTCTATTTCTCTATAACGAGCTGTCCCCTCTTAGCCCACCATTAAGGCATACGTGTCCCCTAACCCCATCCAATTTACACGAGGTTGTGTGATGTGCGACTCCCTGCGGCAACAACACATCAAACAAATAAGCGATCGGGTTAGCCCAGCATGTTTCATATAGGAGAGGACATGGCTTCCTCCACTCCGTCTCGCTTACAGAGGCAAAACACAAATAAGACTTATGGACCAGACTAACAATTTACGTACAATTTCTCTTCGTCGTTATTTTTAACTCAGAAAGACAACCCCCCCCTTTTTTGTGACGTTACTGGGAAGAATGATAAAGTCTCCCCCCTCCCCCCGGACCCTCCCAGGAAAGCCATGAAAACACGTGAGAAATAATAGTTTCTCTTGTTGTTCGAAAGCCCTGGTTAAGTAAATTTGAATGAGCATAATGTCACCACAAAAACTTACAATATGGCTGACTAGTTACTATTATGAAAACTTGACTTTTTTCCCTTTGTCTCTTAAAAGTGAAAAACATATAAAAGTTACTCAGAGAAATCCTAAAATATGTAGATTGACTCTTTTCATGAAGATCGTTGA